TTCTCCTAGGCAGAAATCCTCTGTGGATTGTGTTGTAAGCCTAAATATCCCGAGCAACCTATGCTTGTAGCGGGCAGCGATTAAGGGGGTCAGGTTCAGTGACTTGATTCATTGCATGTCATCGCATCCGAATTGTGTAGAGCTATGCTCATAAGGTCAATCACAGGATTGTCTGGTCCAAACTCAATTATTTACGGACCACCATATCAGGCACATAACTGCAATATTGCTGTGTGTGGCATTAAACAACAAACAAAAACAAAAATTATAGGCAGAAATTGTTTCATACAGGAAAAGTTTGGCAATCCAGGCTCCTTAAATTTAATAGGAACTTGAATTCTTGAGCAACTGTGGTATCATTGAAACCCCAAAAAGGAACAGTCTTTGTTCTCAGACACATACTATTTCGAACGTGTTTTATAACCTGCCTTCACCATTTTGTCCATCTGTGGACATACTCGTGTGCTATTACTGGACATGGATTATTGTCGTATTGCACCTCCCACACAATCTCAGCATCAACAAACAAAACAGACAATCTAATTAACATACATGTCTAAAACAACTGCCCTAATATCCTCTTGAGGTTCCACTGCAACCCACTCAAAGGAATTATCTCACAGCAGTTTGGTTGGAGGTACATTATAACAGAAATCACTTCAACAATTACATGAGTAAAACATGGAAATCTACTGGAGAGTGTCTGTGCATTAGTGAGTGAGTTGGGTTTAACACCGCCTTTAACAGTATTCCAGTTATATCGTGGCGTGTCAGCTTAATGTGGGAGGAAAGCCTGAAGTGATGCAGGTCTGAGACATTTACCACTTCGGTGAAGCCCACAAGCTTGGGTATGGTGCTGACAAACCTAGAAACATAACCAGGGCGAACCGGATTTCGAACCCACAATCATAGGTTTCTGGCGTGCCCAAGGGACGCAACTGTGCACAGCAAATCTAGACAACCTGGCACACCCATGGTCCCATCTGTGCATTAACATTGGCAACACACAAACACAACTAAGTAATGATAACAGTATCATGAATACTGGGCTTCAAATAAATGGTATAACTAATGATATGTGAACTCTATGATCAGAGGTAACATTTATTAGTGAGTGAGTGAGTATGGTTTTACGCCGCTTTTAGCAATATTCCAGCAATATCACGGCGGGGGACACCAGAAATGGGCTTCACACATTGTACCCATGTCGGGAATCGAACCCGGGTCTTCGGTGTGACGAGCGAACGCTTTAACCACTAGGCTACCCGACCGCCCCTACATTTATTAACTTAACAAATGAATCAATATACTTGTAAATTGACAGATGTTTTGACATGGAAAATAAGCGAGGATACAGCTTTTTGAAAAATTAAGAGTGCACTTATAATACAAAAAATGCACGCACAATTGAAAAACATTTTACATTTTTAAAAGAACTGTCAAATATTTGCTATTTCTAAAATGGGTTAAAAATAATTATGTCAACATGATAAGTATGCTACAGAACACCCCTCCCCAACCGAATGGATTGCATATGGAAAGAAACACCATTGAACAAGCCCGTTTTGTTGTGGTTTAATAAACATGAGTATGTACTTTTGTGATTTTAGGGACACTTCTTTCACTTGTTCAAAGAAAAACAAATATTTATATGGTCACTCTACTATTCACTGATTTAAAAATCTACCACATCAAAATGTTTGAAAAATGTTCATTTGATAGTGTCTTATTTATTGTTACACTCCATTTTTTCTCTTTGAATCTAATTTCTCATCTACAAAAGTGCATGTTAATGAATAAAAAGAAAACATGTTTTATATTTACAACCTTTTTACAACTGACTAGGTATAGTAAGGCAACTTTTCAAGGTATAGATAAACAAAGGTTTTTAATAAAACAGCATAGTATCACAAATTGCAGCAGAATATTGTCCGGAACAAACAAGGAACTGGCGCCAATAGCCTGATGCTTTCACTTGTCATGTAAGAATATTGGTCATAGATCACTGATCTGTTTTCCAGTTTATATATCCAAACTTAAAAGGAGTGAGTGAGTGAGTTGGGTTTAACGCCGCTTTTAACAGTATTACAGTTATATTGAGGCGTGTCAGCTTAATGTGGGAGGAAAGGCCAACATAATTGGGGAGAACTGGGATTCGAACCCACAATCATAGGTTTCTGGCGTGCCCAAGGGATGCAACTCTGCACAGAGAATCGCGGCGCCTTAGACGACTGGGCCACCCGTGCCCCCCAAACCTAAAAGGAACCATGAATAAGTGTACAAATGCAGTGGAAGTAAAAACAGCGAGGCAGGTTTCTTGTGGCAAGTCCCTGTGTTCGGGGACTTGTTCCACAAAACAGTCCTCACGCTGTTACAAAGTGGTGAGTCTGTGAATAATGACAATAATAGCATAAGTGCATAAGTGCTACAACTATCAAAAGATCGCCTTGTGGAATGGAAACCCTACCAATACCAAGGGCCTGTGGATGTTAGCTTGTATTTCCAAATGGAAGAATCTGTCAAAAACTGACTCTGACTAATTTGGATTTCTGTCAATACCGGACCACATTTACAGACCAGAATATACTTATAAGAGTATCTTTTATCTTTTTCAACCATTTTCATTAATTTTTCTTTGTCTTTTACTATAATTTCACTAATCTGGACCTCTGTCAAAGCTAGACTTAAATTTCAGTCTCAAAGAATTCCTGTTTAGACAGATTCCACTGTAGGTGATATGTCCTAACACTAGTCATGAATGTTAAAATATACCGAAGTATCTATAAATAGATTAGCCTTGTGGCCTGACAACTACAGTTGATAGAAACACATAAAGTTACTGATAGTTAAGAAACCTTTTATAAAAGACCTCATTTATAACCTCGTTTAATTGACTTCCTGATCATGTGTTCTCTGTGTATCATGTTGTTACGGTATTATCCTTCTGTTGTCATTCCTTAACCTACTCATGTTAATCTCCCTCATGTATGCAATTGTTGTTACTGTTAATCCTCCACCTACTATATATATTCTGTACCATGTTCATTATTCAGCCTTGCTTGAGAACGGTATAAGGATCTTTACAGAAGCGTTGCCATTACAGTAATCAAAGAAGTTGTTATCCATAAATTGTCTCTACTTTGTCATCCGTCAACTTCCAAGTAATGCCAATCAAACAATTTATAACCTCGTAACTCAAGTAAACAGCTCTGATTCTGAGTTTTCTTATATCCAACAGTATTACTCGCAAACCTGGCCTTAACAAGGTCAAGGTCATATTAATGAATTTTTTTCAAATTTCAAACTTTATGTGCAACATGTAAATCAGATAATGCCCCGTCAGACATGGTCTTGGAAGAAGATACCTTCACTAGCTGTTACCAAAACAGAGATTAAAAGCAACATAACCTGAATCCTCAGACACATAAATGGAGAAAGGTACTGAAACACTAGTGTAGAACAGAAGACCACAGTGGATAGGACAGTAAACAAGGACATGTCCATTACAATCTGATGTCTTGATACAATCCCTCTTGGAGAGAAAGCCTGTGGACACCTCCACAGGGGGTTGTGCGGGTGAAATCTGACCGAACTGTGACCACCCGGTCAATCTGATGTTAGCTTCCCAAAATGATTCTGCTACATTTCTTTTCCAACTAGATTCAAAATTTCTATTTTAACAATAGAAAACCCACGATTATTACTATGATGGTACTTCCTTTTTGGTGTAGATGGCTAGATGCCATGGCCTTCAGACAACTACATGGTGTATAAAATGTCTACAACAATAATAAAATGCTGCCTTTATCATTTACATGTGGAACAGGCTGATTAACTTCAATTCCAAGATGCAGTCATCACATATACTTGTCTGAATGCTTTCTCACTTGTACTGAGAATTTAGAAGTCTTGATGCTGATTGACTGATTACAGAGTTCACCTGACACGTCCCCCTGCTGTGTCCTCAGATCATCATGTAGAGAAGTTTGTATCAAAGTAAAAGATTTGATTATAATGAGTGAGTGAGTGAGTTGGGTTTAACACTGCTTTTAACACTATTCCAGTTATATCACGGCGTGTCAGCTTAATGTGGGAGGAGACCCCGAAGTGATGCAGGCTTCAGACGTTTACCACTTCGGTGAAACCCACAAGCACGGGTATGGTGCTGACAAACCTAGAAACATAATCGGGGCAAACCGGGATTCGAACCCACAATCATAGGTTTCTTGCGTGCCCAAGGGATGCAACTCTGCACAGGGAATTGCGGCGCCTTAGACAACTGGGCCACCCATGCCCCCTCTGATTACAATGAAAGCAGAGGAACAGTGTACCACTGTGCACAGGACAATAAACAAGGACACTTTCAGTTTGACATTGCAATATTCTTATCCCATTTGCGCCCCTTAGTTGTACCAGGATCCGATAAGGTTCGGTTTGAATCCTAGATTCATCTCATTTATGTTTCCATATGGGTACAATGTGTGAAGCCCATTTCTGGTGTCCCATGCTGTGATATTGCTGGAAAATTGCTAAAAGCAGCGTAAAACCATACTCACTCACTCGCAAGACATTGGGGTTTCCCACATTTTGGAAGCATGTTGTAATATAACTAAAAACTTGTTCTGATTTAAGTGAGAAAGTGTCAAACCTTCAATTCACTGACATAGAAAAATGTAAGTTCAGAATAAATGAATGATTTACGCAGCAGCATCAATATTACAGCTATTCACTGCCGTATGTTTAGTGGGGACAAAATCTCAAAACTTCAAGATTTGTTTTCTATATGTGCTTACTCAATATTTGAGAGGGATCCTGGTCTATTTCATAACTAGAAGACAGCCACTGGCTTACTGAAATGTGTACAGTATATATTTTCATCAACTTAAAATAAAGTTGAACATGCTCCAGTTGCATGGCAACATGGGATACTATTTGTATGACTCCATCTCCCAGCAGACAATCACACCGTTCAGATCCCCCACACACACAATATCTCTATCAAATGTTAAATAGTGTATTATTCTCAACTATTTGGCATTCTCGATACAAACAATGAGGCTTAAAATCCCTTTCCCTTGTGGTCAGTGTACAAATAATAGTTTTTTTTCAAATAACATATGCAAACAAGCAGACAATAGGTCCAATAAAGTTTTAGTTTCGACCTCAACAACAGATTGTATAACTTCATCTATACCATGGTAGGTACATTTTGTTATATATATATTGACACATATACACTGATATAATAAAGTGGTGTAAATATACCAACACTTCTACTATGTATGTATGCATTACTTACATACGTATCAAATTAACCATTCCAAATACCAAATATCTATGATTTTCAATTTTGTTCAGCCTTTTTCATTAAAACAATAGATATGAATAATCATTAATTGGCTGCAGCTGGCATCATAATAATTAACACAATGTGCAACTAGTGGGTATTACATATATGGAATATTCATTTTGTTTTCATCACACAGATCAGCAGAGAAAATATGTACGAAAATATCAACAATTTATAATATATATTTGTTCTTAAACTTTAAAACTTGTGACCATCAAAATATAAGAAAGACTTGACCATGAAATTTCTTGACAAAACATCAATGTATGGTTACCATGGTGATTTACAGATTAAAGGCTGAATTACTTTAAATGAAAGGGGACAGTTACACATCATCTCGTAGATGGTGATGTCACAACAGCTGGGGCTGCTGTTGTTGTTGATCCTTTCCCGCTGCTGAAGGCGCCGGTTGATGCCAACACCGCCACCACGATGATGATGATGATCACAAGGACGACAGCTATGAGGATCAGTGTCATTTTGGTGTTCTTCCACCAGTATTTCTTCTGAATCCGACGGGCAGTCTTCTGGAAGGAGGCCGACTGGAAGGACACAGATGATCAGAGTGAGTTAATACCACAGTATTTCAATGACTGTAAATTATGAAATTCATGCGGAAAATGCGAGAGTCATTTGACTTCCATTAATAAAGTGATACATTTAAACGGTTTCATACAGTTTGCATAATTAACTGGAAAAAATACACAGTCAATCCATATAATTAAATTCAACAACAAAAACAATAGTTTAACCAAAAAGTGTTGTATATATCAAAGCAGACAAATATGACACGGTTCATAAACATTCAATGTGTAGGAATACATACTGTGGTGTGACATGAATCAGGTGATTATTTAATTTATGCACATAACTTGATACGCCTACAAAGTCAGTAGCCAATCAACAGAGAGTAAGATCAAAACAAAGTTCATAGGACCTGTTAAATCCATAGTCATAAAAGTAGTCCACTTCGGTGGGCATGAATCAGGTGATTATTTAATTTATGCACATAACTTGATATGCCTACAAAGTCAGGAGCCAATCCACAGAGAGTAAGATCAAAACAAAGTTCATAGGACCTGTTAAATCCATAGTTATAAAAGTAGTCCACTTTGGTGGGCATGGCTTAATATTTTTGGATTCATTGGGAAATGACTGCAATAACATGTGACCAATTCAGCTAATCAGAATGCAGGAATTACACAGAACACAACAAAAATTTACTTATTATATCTTGATATATTGGAGTGCATGTGCATTGTCATGTCAGGTTCACTGCACACTGGCATGACATATGTCACAAAGCTCACAATAAAGAATGCAAATCTGTATGTGCATATTTTTATAATCTTACTGTCCCCTCTTTGTTGTATTTATGTACATATACAGTGTTGTGCAATGAGCATGTCCCTCAATTGCAGCACCTTATGAAAATTGGCCATCTTTGCCATTTACAGCAACAGAAGAAGAAAGGTAGAATCATCACACTCTGTAGTCTATGATAAGTTTTTGATATGAGAAACATTAAAGTCATCAAAAAGTGAATTATTTTATATGAAAATCCCCTAAAACAAAAAGTTACCTGTTTCTACACAATAGCCATACTGTATATCAAATTACACACTAAATATACTGGTTCAATTTATTTTTTAAGATACAAGATTTTTAATATAAAGATGGAATCATGTGAACAAATTATAGAGACACTATTTGAGGAACAGTTTACTCAAAATTCCAGTTTCATCAACCCAGTAATGTAAAAAAATTATAGGCATGTGGGAAGGTTCAAGGTCATAGTATACTAGCCACATAAAGAAACTGTGCACGGAGAAAATATAGATATAAGGGCACACCGTCCATATATGAAATATAGGTTTGAACACAGCAATTATTGGAGACATTCAAACGCTCATGCACGTGCCATGCGATATGACCTCATTGATGGGGGCCTATGGACGTGCAATGTGTTACTGCACGTGCATCCTGTGCAGCTCCCGTCCCCGAGTAACGACGCCAAGACAGGACAGATGGATTTTGAGTTACACATCTCCGACACAGGTTCCAAACGGCAGTAACGACGTCCCAGACAATTCCTGGACTGCGCCGTATCCATCCCAACACTGTCAGGAATCGTTTACGTCAGTACAGGATTCGACCACGACGCCCTGCCATACGTCCCATCCTGACACACTGTCATCGAGTCAACCATCTAAGATGGAGTCGAAATCATGTTTGCCAACCTCGAATATGGTGGAGAAATGTTGTCTTTACAGATGAATCGAGGTTCAACATTTCCTACAGTGACGGGCGCCAACGTGTCTACCGGCGTTTTGGAGAACGTTATGCACGCAACTGTATTGTGGAGAGGAATCGTTTTGTAGGTGGCTCTGTGATGATTTGGGGTGGGATAACAGCACGGCACCGAACCCCTTTGGTGGTTGTTCAGGGCAATCTCACCGGTGTTGGCTACAGAGATCAGATTCTGAGGCCTGTGGTCATTCCTTTCCTGCAACGTCATGGCCCGGGATTGACATTTCAACAGGACAACGCTCGTCCTCACACGGCTAGGGTCGCAATGGATTTCCTTCACCATAACAATGTCATGTTACTGCCATGGCCTGCAAATTCTCCAGATCTCTCCCCAATAGAGCATGTGTGGGATGAAATGGAGCGCCGTCTGCGTCGTCTTCCACATCCTCCAGATAACGTCCGTGACTTGGCACAGGATTTGAGGAGGATATGGCAGGCCATTCCCCAGGCCTTCCATGCCCATTTGGTGGACTCCATGCGTCGCCGATGCACTGCTGTGATTCACGCACAGGGTGGTCATACCCGTTATTGACTTTGTGACTTTGTCGTTTGACCCCCTACTCCATTTTGATCTTCTGACGTCATCGTAACAGATGTTGTTCAGGTCCCGTTGACATTTTCTTATGGTCCGATCATTCAGCTGCTACAGCGTCTGCATCATTTTGTTCTTGCTGTGTTGTATTTCAATCCAGAATATATTTTCTCCGTGCAGTTTCTTTATGTGGCTAGTATATAACCAAGAATAATAATACTTTCATATTACATTTATGGGCAAAAGGGCATTTTCAATATGGCTGCCACTGTGCTCTTGATAATGATAGGATTGTTGGAAACTCATGACAACATTTTAGAGACAACATTTTGAAAGGAACATACATGTAAAGTTTAAGCAGCACTCACCTTGTGGTTTTGCAGGGGTGGTACAAAATGTTGATGGTGGACAATGACCATCAAACACACTTGATATAGGGCGAGTAAATATTACTTTCCATGAGTATTATTGGTTGAACTATTTTCTTACCAACACCTACTGGCTTCATAAATAAATACACTGATCTTAGTTACACTAGCTCTTGATTCTTATGCTGGCTTCCAACTCCTCTGTCATGTCCATGAGGTCATCAAGCCTGTCCCCTCGCTCCAGAAACTTCTTCATATTTTGAGACATAACCCTTCCCTCTACACTAGGTGTAGATACTTATCCTGGCTTTCAACTCCCCTGTCTTGTCCACGAGGTCATCAAAACTGTCCATTTGCTGCACAACCTTCTCAAATTCTGAGACTTAAGCCCTCTCTCTACTCCAGATTTTGACACTTACGCTGGCTTCCAACTCCTCTGTCTTGTCCATGAGGTCATCAAGTCTGTCCCCTCGCTCCAGAACCTTCTCGATATTCTGAGACATGACCCCTTTCACCTCATCTACTTGATTCTGAAGCTTTGCCGTCCCAGTGTTTCCAGCTCCAGGCTTTGAGTACTTCTCCTGAATGGTTTAAAATGAAATACTTTATCACAGTCACTTGGGGTGAATGAGTGAGTGAGTGAATTAGGTTTCACATTCAGCAATATAATACAAATTTCATAGTGGAGGACACCAAGAATGTATTTCACACATCATAGCCATGTAGGGATTGAACATGAGTCCCAGGTGGAACTCTGACTGCAAGGTATTAAGGATAAACTGGTATATGGCAATATGCTTTACAAACAATACATATTGCAATTTTACTCACAAATGAAGTTTCCCTTTGAAATTGATTGACAAAATGGCAGAAATCTGAAGGGATCTTTCCCTCACATTGTGATCTTCCATGTATCCATGACTACGGTGTCTAACCATGTTGACTTTGACATCTTAATATTTACAGTAGTATGTAGAAAATAGGATATGCATGTACAATCACTGTCAATCACTGTCAAAACTTTAGCTCCCAATATGTTATAATACGTAAAATCACAAAACAAATACCTGTATCACTCAACAAATCTTTCAACGATACATTGGTGCCCAAAGTGGGTCAAGTTCGTTCAAATTAAACCTTCGTCACGCCGAAGACCTGGGTTCGATTCTTGACATGGGTACAATGTGTGAAGCCCATTTCTGGTGTCCACCGCCGTGATATTGCTGGAATATTGCTAAAAGCGGCGTAAAACCATACTCACTCACTCATATTAAATCTGAGCAATATAATTCTTGGTACCCTACTAATAGGACGTGCCTTCAGTTGATGGGGGAGTCTGAAGCAGGCGTTGAGTTATCCCACACATGACATCCTTACCTTGTCAGCTTGTCATGGTTGCCTCAGAGGAACAATATAAGGCTACATGTCTTACCATTTGTTGTGACATGACAAAACCAAAGTCGCCATCCAAGTCATGTGATTCTGCAGTTGATGCTTGCTTTGCAAGTGGACCACTTTGGAAATTTTTCTTGATCTACAGAACCAAAAAAGATTTTCTTTGGAAATTAAAGTTACGATTAAGAAAACCAGACAGCCAATTGGACTGAGAAACTGTTAACACAAATTTGATTCCTATACAGTGAAACCCTGCTATTTGGGATGGTGTTATTCACAACTTCTGGATTAATGATTCATGTGTACGTAGTAATGTCACTTTAATCAACATAGACGTTAACAACTATATCATATGGAAGCTGGTCAAGGTGTCCACATTAACAGAGTCTGTAATAACAAGGTTACACAGCAGTGAAACAGGACAGATCATTTTACAAGATCTTCAACAAGACCAACAAGACCAAGCTTAATGTTCTAACAAAATGCCTACCTTATCAGATAAAAAGATGCGCAAAATAGTATGTACAAAGCAAATAAATGATAAAAACCTTTAATAAAGCAGCATCATACCAAATGGTGTATAGATACTGATGGTTGAGGGTGCAAAGACTGAACTCAAGTTTTGTTTAACATGATCACTTAACTTGAACATTATATATATATATATATCCCTGTTATTCTTCACTACAGGAAACACATGCTTTTCCCATTAGACGGATGGGTGGAAAGTTGGCTTTAGACATAACATCCTCATTGCCTAACTAGCAATGTCAAGAGGACAGCACTACAGATGGTCCAGATAATGCTCTTAATGGACCTGAGACCTGGACAACATATGAATACTAGTACATGTTATGCAAAATGTTCAGTAGCTTCTAAGCTATGTATCACAAACTCTAGTGTGAATCACAATACCTTTCCATAATACAGGTTAGTAGTTTTGAGGGTAACTTTGTGAAATATCTGCACCTATACTTGACATGGTTTGCACCTATACTTAACATGATCTGTATATATACTTAACATGATCTGCACCTATACTTAACATGATCTGCACATATACTTAACATGATCTGCACCTATACTTAACATGATCTGTATATATACTTAACATGATCTGCACATATACTTAACATGATCTGCACATATACTTAACATGATCTGCACATATACTTGACATGGTCTGCACATATACTTAACATGATCTGCACATATACTTAACATGATCGGCACCTTTACTTAGCATGATCTGCACCTATACTTAACATGATCTGCAAATATATTTAGCATGATCTGCAAATATACCTAACATGATCTGCACATATACTTAGCATGATCTGCACCTATAATTAGCATGATCTGCACATATAGTTAGCATGATCTGCACCTATAATTAGCATGATCTGCACATATACTTAGCATGATCTGCACCTATACTTAACATGATCTGCACATATACTTAACATGATCGGCACCTTTACTTAGCATGATCTGCACATATACTGCACCTATATTTGACATGATCTGCACCTATATTTGACATGATCTGCACCTATATTTGACATGATCTGCATATATATTTGACATGATCTGCACCTATATTTGACATGATCTGCACATACACTTAACATGATCTGCACATAAATTTGACATGATCTGCACATATATTTGACATGATGTGCACATATATTTGACATGAGTGATGTACCTCTGCTAGATATGCGTATGGTTGTTGTTTTCCAAAATCAGGAGCTGCAGCACACATATAAATAAGACCTCGGTCTACCAAACAATGAAATGCATAACTGAAACAAACCAAAGGTATACACAGCAAATTAATAGAAACGAAATCAAGCAGAAAATCATGCATAATCCAGAGACTCTGCTATCTATTTAAAATCAGATCTAAGGACATCCCATTACGGGTCACGTCAGAACGATCTTTCGCAAACTTTGACCGACCACTGAAATGACTAGCAAGAAGTTGACATCAGCCAATTAGAAAGCAGCTTTCTCAAACTTTACGGCACTCGTTTCAACCTGGCGACTTCCATTTCAGATTACGCATGAAAAATAAGTTCTTGATTAAAATTTTGAAAACTGAACAAACAAACATTCCGGAATGTCTAATATATGGTTGAGATTGCATGGCAGTGCTTCTTACGTACTGTGCAACGCCTCCTCCATTCAAATGTTTATACCACGGAAGTGAGAGATAGACGAGAATTTTGACAGAATCAGCCGTACGGGCTGTAACTGTCGTTCAGAATACCCGGTGTTAATGTTTTCGAGGTTGCATGATTAGAAAGCACATTCCGACTGTCACTTTCATGATCTGGTAAGCGATGCTTTGATTGGTCGGATGAAAGGTCGTTCTGACGTGATCCGTAATGGGATTTCCTCAGATCTTTGTTTAGCGATAGAAGAATTAAGATCTGATTTTAATGAGATTGGAGACTCTGGAGATATTGTGAAATACAAGCATGTCTCCATCTTCTCACAGCCAATGCTGCTGCAACCTGTGGGTTTCTGGGTAAGAATACAAGTCCCCAGAAACCAGTGCTTGTCGTAGGAAGCAACTAGATGGATCGGTTGTTCAGGCATGGTTGATAGCATGTCACTGTATCCCAATTGTGTGGATGTATGCTCATTATGTCAATCACTGGATTGTCTGGTCCAGGCTTGTATTTACAGACCGCCAAATAGCTGGAATATTGCTGAGTGTGGCTTTAAACAACTTGTTGAAAGGAAAGATATGAGTGGGTACTCAAGTGTGCATACAGCTTGCTATGAAAGGAAGTGTACAATTATTCATTTATTACCTTAAGTGAACATCTGCTATATAGATGAATAAACTGTGAAGTGTGTGTGTGTCTGTGTGAGTGTGTGAGTGAGTGAGTGAGTGAGTGAGTGAGTGAGTGAGTGAGTGAGTGAGTGAGTGAGTGAATGAGGTTTAATGCCGCTTTTAACAGTATTCCAGTTATATCACGGCAAGTCACCTTAATGTGGGAGGAAAGCATGAAGTGGTGCACGTCCCACTTTGGTGAAACCCACAAGCACTGGTATGGTGCTGACAAACCTAGAAACATAATCAGGGTTAAAACGGGATTCAAATCCACTATCATACGTTTCTGGTTAAAACTCTGCACAGTAAATTGCAGTGCCTTAGATGACTGACCACCACCCGTCCCACCGCAAAGCAATCTGAACATTTGGTAGTCATTTTATGATGTTGAATACACAAATGTTTTTGTTAAAGTATTGTAATATGTTTACTCTTTAAAGTGGAAGGGGAAGGGGGAGCGGGAAGCGGGAAGGGGATCTGCATATAAGTATCCTGTTTTTTATGCCAGAGTCAGCAATTTTCATCGTAGTATGAATTACTAGTACAAAAAAAATGAAACAGTTAAATTTCATTCATTGGTAATAAAACAACTGTTTCTGAACATGTAAGTCTATCATCATATTGTGTTTAAGTATATATATATATACCAAATAATATCATAGAAACCAAATTATTTCATACTTTAGAATTGAAAGAGGCCAAATGTAAATTTTTTTGTGACCAAAGAATTCTGTCAAGTAAATTTCATGATTAATTGATTTCATCATCTTAGAACTGAAGGACACAAAATGTCATTTGATGAACTTCTGTGACAAAATAAATAAATTAATAATTGTTTGATGATATTACCTTTTGAATCACCAGTACTAAAAACTCATGAGTAATTTATTTTTATAACACTAAGTGATAGGGCTGCATTAAAACTGATCTACTGATATGCTAATAGTTTTGACTCCTACCTTCCATTGATAAACAAAATGCTGAAACTTTATTAAATTATTCATCGTTTAAGATGTTGCCCCAACTTAAGCCATGTGTCAGACAAAGGGCCTGTAGATTGCATCTGTAGTATGGAAAATGTGAGTTTCTAGAACAATATGGCGAAAAAAAGGGAAGTTATTAAATTTAAAATTGTAGCATAAAATTATATCTTACATTCACTACAAATTAGAAGTATTATATATATACCGCATTCGACGTAATAAGCGCCCAGGGCGCCCTCAAAATTACAAATAGGGGGCTCTTAGAATATAATTTTGGTGAAAAAAACCCATAGTTGAAGGATAAATTTCGTGGTTTGTGCTGACAGCCTGAAATGTTTATGTGGACAGATATTTTTTTCCAGAATTTAATTGCCCGTAATAAAGTGTGCATACAACACATGAGTGCGTATTATACCGAATAAATAAGTCTTGTGTACATTGTTCAATCAGAAGGGATGCTAATTGGGCTTATTCACTAGCCAATATATCAGCAAATATCACCGTGGGCGCTTATTAGAGCGGGGCGCTTATTACGTCAAATACGGTACATGTACAGTGATCGCTCGCTATTGCGCTACCAATGGGGTCCAAATAATTGGTGGGCGTTATAGACGATGAGCCGTTTAACCGAAGCCGAGGCGGGGGAGCGCGCTCGGCAAATCTCAAATCATCAATAGGCCTATGTGTTTATCTCACGTCACGTCAAAATAGTATATATTTTTATGGACCTAGATCTACCTGTAATATCATTCATTTATTAAATCTGTCATATTTCACAATGTCTGAAATACGTATTCCATTCTAATTTATCATTTTTTATCAATAAATTAAAAAATTATTCACTATTTCCCGCGATGTTATTGAAAATAAAATTCTCGGACACACATTTCGACAACGGGTCCGCATCGAACATGTCAAAGAGCAAAATAAAGACTATTTTAAGCAAATCTTTAAATATATTATACAAAGTGATAAATAAAATCAACAAAAATATATCTAAAAGTAATCAAACTTACATCTAAGTTATTATTTCCATCGTTTTGTGCGATCGCGTGTAATGTAAGTCAAATGACATCTCGGCTTTCGTCGCCTTGAATTCTCGGCTCGGACACAACGTTCAATGCAAAAATATATGCATGAAAAATCTTTGTCACAGCTCGTAACCTAGCACGATACATTCGCGAAGTTCCATATTTTTAATATATATCGTGATTTCCTGCTTAAAACGTTCAGAATAACACGATTTAACAAAAAATCTTTCGCTAACTTCTGAAATTTATCAAACACGAGCTTTGTATCAAAGCTTGATTGGCTGCCTGAGGTCACGTGCTCAAAATTGACCAATCACGAAACTTGTAGCAGATTTCGGCAAGAAAGCGTCATTAGAAACAAATTTTAATCCAATGAAATCGCTTGTTATAACTACGGGGAAAAAACAGGCGATGTTACGAAAGCGCGATTACGAAATGAATGACCGCCGTGTTGTGACAGCAACTACATTTGTGTGACAGTTTAGCCTTAAATTGGATTGCCCACTAATTAAGAATATAAACTTCACTTGTGGTTCTCTTTTATTGCATGCATGCGCTTCTAAGATCAAAGGATGTATAGTGTGAAAAGTTAACTAGTTGAACAATCGTATTTCCGGGACTTGCCGCGGATATTTTCAAACAGATTATTAGAACTCCATTCAGCGATAAACCGTTGATTATGCAATGAGAAGCGTTATGTGCAAATAAACAACGAACAACAATACAATCATGTCTGTGTAAAACTCTCAGTATTAAAAGTGTACATAAATTTTGGGAGCCATGCGTTACCGCGCGTAATAACCGAAGTAGCGCTTTATCGAAGAGCGCAATAGCGAGCGATCACTGTATATATAGTTAGGAGAGAAGATAGTTTGCTATTGTTTATAAAAAGATATTGCTGATATAATTCTTTCAGCATTTTCATCCAAAGAATATTCTGAGTAACTTCCGTTTTTATTGTCTTGTACATATATTTCAATGTACACTGTTAAACAGTGTAGCACATGTGACTTGGATTGGGCCATCACAATAGTTATATCTCACAACAGTGTAAACATCTGGTAAAGAAACAGGTAGGACATGAAATTTATATCCTGCTTCCTTTGAACTGGTTTTCAAGCTGATAGATGTCTTAATAGATGAAAACAGCCTTGTCATTAACTGGTCACTTCCTTATTTCATTTAAAGTGACTTGATGACCTATCTTTTTTAGGTCAATATGTTACATTGCAAAATATAGTACTGTTCTATTCATATTGTGGTTTCATGATACAGATTGTATTGAGATTTCTGCATGGTGGGTAGCCTAGCGGGTAAAGTGTTCGCTCATCATGCCGAAAGTTACGGGTTTGATTCCACATTAGTGCAATCTGTAAAGCCCATTTATGGTGTCAGACAATGTGATATACCGTATTTGACGTAATAAGCGCCCAAGGTGCTCTCAAAATTAGAAATAAGGGTCTCTTATTAGAATATTATTTTGGTAAATGGTGAAGGTAAATTTTGTGGTCTATGCTGACACCCTGAAATGTTTATATACGACAGATATATTTTTCCAGAATTTAATTAAGGGTACATATAACACACTAGTGCATATAATACACGAATAAATAAGTCTTGTGTACATTGGTCAATCGGGAGGGGTGCTAATTTGGATTGTTTACTAGCCAATATATTAGCAAATATCGCCTTGGGCGCATATTACAGTGGGGCGCTGATTACGTCGAATACGGTAGCTGGAGTATTTCTAAAAGCGGCATTAAAACCAAACTCACTCAGTTGTGTTGTTTAAGCATTCAACATTCAAACATTAAAAGGACAGTACATCAATGGTTCTGTATGTTTTTGAAAAATGCATGAAATAACTTCCGATTGTGATGTCAATTCTCAAACCAAAACAATAGAGCTCTGCACAGTGACACCGACAATGCAAGTGCTGCGCAGTGTAAACTGTTTTCAGTAATTATTTTTTTTTATTTGAGGCAAGTTTAATTAAAGCTTGTGTGTTTTTCTTATGGTTGAGTTACAAAATACTAATTGCCTGCTTAATTAGATTAGAAGCCAGTGTTTGTCCAGTTTACAATATAGATATGCCTCTGTCGTATGAACATGATGAAGTCACTCATTCTCCCATACAGAGTCACTTGCGCCCAGCCTTGTACCGTTGTCAGATCGTCATGTCACAGTTCATTCATGTATTTTTATGGGTTTTTTAGACTTCCATTGAGAAAATATCCTAAAACATGAAAAACTATTTCCATTTGCGTATTTATCCTTCATGTGCTCTCATCAAAACACTACGGAGAGCTAGCGATAGTCACTTTGATGTGTAAGCTATATTGTCAAACAGCTCACTGTCACAGTTGTAGTAGTATGTCTATATAATTCTGCAAAACAATTTGTAAAGTGCACCAAAAGGCTTGCATTAGGTCTGTCTGTTCTATTTCTGAATAAGTGTGTTTGTTTACCAACAAGAGAAAAGTCTGGTCATGTGATAATCCTACACATACGGTGTGGTCACTGGAGCAGAACATTCTGTCACGGAATAAGGCGAGCAGAGCAGAGTAAGCTCGTGGGTTATCAGCTATTGTTTACTAAGAAAGCTTCAGAACGGTCGACGTCCTGTCCCTTTAAACAAACAGAAAATAAACATCTCTTAGTGACATTAAAAAGTCTCTATGTTACTTACTCATTTGATGTGTATGTATTTTTGCCATCCGTGCTGGTTGATATATTTGGGAGTATAGAATCAACTGTACTTTCAAAACTACCAATGCCATTCTGTCGACTGCAGAGGACAACTGTCCCTCTGGAAATACAGCTGTACTCAATAGGCATATTTGCTGATTACCTGAAAAATATTAAATATCAAAACATCAACACATATCATGAACATGTTCAGGGAATTCCTTTCCAATTAGACATGTTGTCATGGAACTTAATGATAACTTAATGAATAATGATAACAATTCTAATGATGATGATACTACTACTGTTGACTGTTTGTTATTTAACGCCACACTCAGCAATATTCCAGCTATATGACGGCGGTCTGTGAATAATCGAATCCAGTGATTGATATCATTAGCATCAATCCACACAATTGGGATACGATGACATGCATCAACCAAGTCAGCGAGCCTGACCACCCGATCCCGTGAGTTGCCTCTTCAGACAAGCTTAGTTGCCTTTTTTACCAAGCATGGGTTGCTGAAGACCTATTCTACCCCGGATCTTCACGGGTTTATACTACTACAATCCGATCCTGTTAGTCATTGCTGAGTGCGGCGTTTAGACAAGACAAGAATTGTCGCCTTTTACAGCAAGCATCGGTTGTAAAAGACCTCTTCTAACGCAGATCATCATGGGTCTACTACTGCTACTACTACTACTACTACTACTAATATTAAATAAACATACAGTGGACATACAAACATCAAATGTGATCCGATAATAATGATAAACCATCATAATTTTTACATGAACATCAATAATCAATACATTGTCATATATTAATACATATCAGACTACTCTAATGGTAGTTTAGACTGTAAGTCCATTGTTAACAAGCATGAAATTTTCATAGCCCCAGCCAATACCGCCTTTTTTCAGTCTAAGTCAAGGTTGTTGACATGGAAACTAAAAAAATCCAAAACTATCAAAAGGCACCAGTTCACCACTAGACCTATCTATGTGCCAAGTTTGGTTAAGATTTCTCTCATGGTTTTTGAGTTCTGCGACGGAAATGAAACATGATGGACGGATGGACAGCACTTGGGGGGGGGATAATAATAATGATGTCATCTTCTCATCACAAAAAATTGAACTTCATTTGAACAGTTGGGTTCCAGTTTTAACAAAATTCTGTATGAGAAGATAAAAGATGCTTGAACTTTTTTGCTGAAATGTTAAATGCTCTAACATATTTAGCAGAATCATCAGCAAACTTTTGACATACTGAAGCGGCTTATAATCTCCTAAATATTACAAAATTATGATAATAAATGGCAAGTGAAAACAAATATTCCTAGATTGAATAATAATGTTCCATACGTCCTACCCATCTGCATTGCGTTTCGTAGTGTCTCCTATGTAGCACATCGACAAATGCAGACATTTTGCGAGAAAAACAAACACACGGAAATGAAATTGAAACTTCGGTGTTTCAGTGAATGAAGTGTATCAATGACAAATAAACACACAACCACACAACATACAAGATTACAAACCAGTAGAGAAATTAATATCCGTGTAAATCCCGTTCCTGGTGTTTTGACATGAGTTTCAAAACTTTTCCAATGATCAAATTTATGCAATGTCTGCAACAAAATCTAAATCAATACTGCAAGGAGGCGTGACTCACTCAGACGACAACAAATAACGAGAGTTGCCTCCCTTATACCGTGCAATACCGCCTCATGTCACACAAGCTAAATATAGTCTAATACTGTTATCCAATCAGCTTATGCGTAAGGGGCTATCTAAGCCAATCAAAGTATCTGTTAGGCAGCGTGCGGTATCAATTAGTTACGGTGGTGATTATTGGGTCAATCGGCGTGAGGGATCACTCCAAGCCGAAAGACACATTCGGCGGCAATCAAGAAATTCTGTGAAATTTCTGAAGAAGCGTGCAAATAGTAGCGTGATATTATCAAAACAGTAAGTAGATATTTATATACACGTCTTTTCCGTTTCTGTAAGTTGATAGTGCAATTGAGTTGTCACTGGCGCTTAAGTCTAGAGTTGGGCGACTAAGCATGCACAAATCGGTGTCAATTCAACACAATAATATCACTGATCATTACGTTTTGAAAGAAAGCACATTTAGAACGTGACAACGCCGCAAGAGCTTTAGCGCGTCACTGCTATTTACATAATAATGTCTAAGGTGTCGATTGCAGATCAGTCATTGTTAATTGCAGTTTTGACAGGATTTTAATTTTTCAAGTCGTTTGTTTTGTTATGAGTTGTAATCTTTGTTCTCTGTGCATTGAAAAAAATCTAACGCAAACATTTGCCCCGGCTGACAGCTGTCTTCGTGCAATCGGTGCTGATAGACTCTCAAAATAGATGCGCACGTGGGACTTCACGCCTGGCTTGTTAAAAACATAAACACGATAAACCTGTCCTGCCCATCTGCGTTGTCTGAGCGTTACTCATGGTATGAACGGTACACACCGGCAATATAAAACTGATGTATATATGCTGTGGATTTGGGGAGGATATTAGCTAAAAAAATATTTGTTATGTATATATCGACTCGCATGTTTTTTTTGTTTTTTTTAAAATTACATCTTTTAATAATTTAATATATCTTTTCACTTAATGTTATAAAATAAAATCAAATATCACCTCATTGGTAATCTGTATCAAAAGATGCTATTGTGTAAAAAAAATATGTAAAAACAATGTGTTCCTTAAATGTATTCTATAACCCTTAACACATGTATGTATGTTCCTTATTTGAAGCTTTGTTATAGATTCGAGGAGCTTAACATGTTTTGTTCCATATCAGTATTGTAAAAGGTTAATCAATCTTGAAGAGACAATTCAAGATTCACAAATCCATAACCTTATGCAAATTACTTGCAATATTTACATCAAGATTTCACCAGTAAAACCGAAAGATTCAGTGGTGCAACATGGTGTCCACCACATAACAGTGAAACCTTGTTAATCTGGACAGTTGCCATCCACCAAAAAATGTCCAGATTAACTCTTTTCCGGAATAATGAATCAGGGCTATGAAATAATGTCACTTTGTAGAAATGTAAGCATTCCTAACAGTAAAGGTGAGGTTTCTGAATTAACAGGATCCGGAATGGCAAAGTGCTGTATAAATATTTAAGTTAATCATAACTGTTGTACTTATACGATGGAAATAAAATAAGGGAACACTCCTTTGAAGGAGTCACATATTAGCCATACAGGGTTTGTTCCCTGAAGATCATCCAGCAGGGTAATAATAGTAACAATGCGATAGGTAATATTGTGTATCAATAGGATCTTGCTGAACCAGTTGTATGAAAAGCAATTAAAAAAATAATATGCATGTCTTAACAAGGTTTAAGAAATCACATTCCAGTTTTAATTGGCAGTACTCGTCCCATGTACAATTACAGCTGTTCCTTTCCCAGCTGCTGTATGTGTGTACGGGCTCTGTGTCCACACACACCTGCACAATGATTGCTGCTGCGTTCTACTTGATGCACAGCGCCACCTGTAGGTGGTGCACGTGCAGTGTTGCCAATCTGCAGGTGTGACTTCATTACAGATTTCCCAAACTGCACCATCCCGTGAAAGGATAGCATCCCAAGTGCTTCTTACTTCTCCAACTCCTTCCCCACCCCCTCCAAAATCTGCTCCCCCACACCCCATCTCCTGCCCCACTCCCCATATCCACACCCCCACCCCCCATTTCCTGCCCCATTCCCCATATCCACCCTCGTTCCCCATCTCCACCCCCACTCCCCATCTGCACCCCCACTCCCCATATCCACCACACACCCCATCTGCACTCCCGCTCCACATGTGCTCCCCACTCCCCATCTGCACCCCCACACCCCCATCTGCTCCCCACTCCCCATCTGCACACCCACACACCCATCTGCTCCCCCACTCCCCATCTCCTGCCCCACTCCCCATATCCATCCCACGACCCATCTGCTCAACCACACCCACCTGCAACCCCACTCCCAATATCCCCCCGCTCCCCATCTGCACACCCATGGCCACTCCCCATCTGCACACCCATGGCCACTCCCCATCTGCACCCTCTCTCCCCATCTGCACACCCATGGCCACTCCCCATCTGAACCTTTCTCCCCATCTGCACACCCATGGCCACTCCCCATCTGCACCCTCTCTCCCCATCTGCACACCCATGGCCACTCCCCATCTGCACACCCATGGCCACTCCCCATCTGCACCCTCTCTCCCCATCTGCACACCCATGGCCACTCCCCATCTGCACCCTCTCTCCCCATCTGCACACCCATGGCCACTCCCCATCTGCACACCCATGGCCACTCCCCATCTGCACCCTCTCTCCTCATCTGCACACCCATGGCCACTCCCCATCTGCACCCTCTCTCCCCATCTGCACACCCATGGCCACTCCCCATCTGCACCCTCTCTCCCCATCTGCACACCCATGGCCACTCCCCATCTGCACCCTCTCTCCCCATCTGCACACCCATGGCCACTCCCCATCTGCACCCTCTCTCCCCATCTGCACACCCATGGCCACTCCCCATCTGCACCCTCTCTCCTCATCTGCACACCCATGGCCACTCCCCATCTGCACCCTCACTCCCCATCTGCACACCCATGGCCTCTCCCCATCTGCAACCCCACTCCTCATCTGCACACCCATGGCCACTCCTCATCTGCACACCCATGGCCCATATCCACCCCACTCCCCATCTGCACCCCCACTCCCCATCTGCACACCCACTCCCCATCTGCACTCCCACACCCCATATCCACCCCACTCCCCATCTGCACACCCACTCCCCATCTGCTCACCCACTCCCGATATCCACCCCACTCCCACTTCCCATCTGCACCCCCACTTCCCATATCCACCCCTCACCCCATCTGCACACCCACTCCCCATATCCACCCCACTCCCACTTCCCATCTGCACCCCCACTTCCCGTATCCGCCCCACATCCCATCTGCACACCAACTCCCCATATCCACACCACTCCCCATCTGCACCCCCACTCCCCATCTGCACCCCCACTCCCAATCTGCACCCCACTCCCCATATCCACCCCACTCCCCATCTGCACCCCCACTCCCTCTCTGCACCCCCACTCCCTATCTGCGCACCCACTCCACATCTGCACACCCATTCCCCATCTGCACCCCCACTCCCCATCTGCACACCCACTCCCCATCTGCACCCCAACACCCCATATCCACCCCACTCCCCATCTGCACCCCCACTCCCCATCTGCACCCCCACACCCCATATCCACCCCACTCCCCATCTGCACCCCCACTCCCCATCTGCACACCCACTCCCCATCTGCTCACCCACTCCCTATCTGCTCACCCACTCCCCATATCCACACCACTCCCACTTCCCATCTGCACCCCCACTTCCACCCCCATCTACCCCATCTGTTCCCCAACTCTCCATATCTATGTGCAGCCTGTGTTGCTTGTGGCAGGGTAAAAGAGATTTATTCCCTGTTGAGGAATTTATTCCCATCCAAGGCGGGATACACAGTATGTTATCAAGATCACGTGGACCAATCAGATCTCATCATTCTGACATGGAGGTATGATAATATCCACTATACCATGGATGTGGCAATAGTTTAAGAGATTTATTAATGAACTGCCATGTTGATTCCTTGTTAAGGTCCAGCGTACCCCAGTCTTGTCCAACTTCCGACATTGTGATCATGCTGACACTACTTGTTTTCCTGTACTTGACTTGATTATATATAGACTTGATATATGTATACTTGATTATATGTACGCTTGATTTTATAAAGTTGGTTGTTGATTGGTTGGTTTGTTGTTTAATGCCACACTCAGCAATATTCCAGCTATATGACGGCGGTCTGTCAATAATTCGAGTCTGGACCAGACAATACAGTGATTAATATCATGAGCATCGATCCACGCAATTGAGATCGATGACATGCATCAACCAAATCAGCAAGCCTGACCACCCGATCCCGTTAGTCGCCTTTTACAACAAGCACAGTCACCTTTTACGGCAAGCATGGATGGATTGCTGAAGACCTATTCTACCTTTATAAAGACTTGATTATATGTAGACATATCATTATATATAGGCTGATTATATGTAGACTTGATTATATTTAGACATATCATTATATGTAGGCTGATTATATGTAGGCTGATTATATGTAGACTTGATTATATGTAGACTTGATTATATGTAGACATATCATTATATGTAGGCTGATTATATGTAGGCTGATTATATGTAGACATATCATTATATGTAGGCTGATTATATGTAGACTTGATTATATTTAGACATATCATTATATGTAGGCTGATTATATGTAGACTTGATTATATTTAGACATATCATTATATGTAGGCTGATTATATGTAGACTTGATTATATGTAGACTTGATTATATGTAGACTTGATTATATGCAGACTTGATTATATGTAGACTTGATTATATGTAGACATATCATTATATGTAGGCTGATTATATGTAGACTTGATTACATATAGACATATCATTATATGTAGGCTGATTATATGCAGACTTGATTATATGTAGACTTGATTATATGTAGACATATCATTATATGCAGACTTGATTATATGTAGACTTGATTACATATAGACATATCATTATATGTAGGCTGATTATATGTAGACTTGATTATATGTAGACTTGATTATATGTAGACATATCATTATATGTAGGCTGATTATATGTAGACTTGATTACATATAGACATATCATTATATGTAGGCTGATTATATGTAGACTTGATTATATGCAGACTTGATTATATGCAGACTTGATTATATGTAGACTTGATTATATATGGACATGTCATTATATATGGGCTGATTATGTAGACTTGATTATATATGGACATGTCATTATATATGGGCTGATTATGTAGACTTGATTATATATGGACATGTCATTATATATGGGCTGATTATGTAGACTTGATTATATATGGACATGTCATTATATATGGGCTGATTATATGCAGACTTGATTATATATGGACATGTCATTATATATGGGCTGATTATGTAGACTTGATTATATATGGACATGTCATATATGGGCTGCATGGTATAGCTGGAATATTTCTGACTGTGGCTAAAACAACATTCATTTAGCGAGGGCCACATGCATCCCAGTCAGTGTCTCCCATCACTGTCCATTTACCCAGCGCTGGGAGATAATTACACTGAAATTCACCACTTACTCACTGTAGAAATATAGTGGATAACATATTGACGCTAAGAAATTTTACCAGTCCAAATGGATCTTCTATGTAGTTCCGTCCCTACTTTACAGGGACACTTAATACCAGTCCTGATGTATTTCTGTCTATTAAGTCATAATTTGTTTCACAATAGTAAAGGGGCAAACTAGCAATCGTTATCTGTAAAATTGCTGCAGATTGACCCCTTTCCTGGAGGGCAACGGCTCAGAAACCCTCTGATAAAAATGTCAGAGCTTGCTGTCCAGATAGCTTCTATGTCTTCCATACCCAACTTAGACAGACATTTATCTAATGTCTTCAACCCCGTGGGGACTGCGGATTAGAATTGGTTCCAGTAACCTATACTTGCCGTAAGAGGCCACCTGATGGATTGGATGGTCAGGCTTGATGAATTTGGCGTTGGATGTTGCTCATAGCAATTCACTGGTTTGTCTTGTCCAAGACTTAATTATTACAGGCTGCTGATATTGTTGGAATATTGCTGACAGTGGCGCAAAACAAAACAAACAGATAAAATATCTTCAAGGAATATATTTTTTTCTCTGCCCTAACCAGTTCTATGCATTGTTATACCCTGTCCTATGATACAGTGATTGTACCATGTGGATTACAAGCAAGGTAAAATGAGATTTAAAAATCAATCCTTTTTTTCTACTAGTTTGTACAAGAGACATCAACACTCCTTTTAGTAATTCACTCAAATATACAAAATATGTTTTTAATGTGCTGTCAAACGAAGAAGGAATGTTCCCAAGCATCAGGTTTTTATGTATCATATTGTGCATCTTATAAAGTGGGTGAGTGAGTATGATTTTACACCGCATTAGGCAATATGCCAGCAATATCACGGCAGGGGACACTAGAAATGGGCTTCACATATTGTACCCATTTGGGGAATCGAACCCGGGCTTTTGGCATGACGAACGAGGGCAGTAACCACAAGGCTACCCCCCAGCCCCATATCTTATAAAGTGAGTGAGTACGGTTTTACGCCGCTTTTAGCAATATTCCAGCAATATCACGGCGGGGGACACCAGAAATGGGCTACACACATTGTACCCATGTTGGGAATCGAACCCGGGTTTTCGGCGTGACGAGCGAACGCTTTAACCACAAGGCTACCCCACAGCCCCATATCTTATAAAGACCTTACAATTGAGATGAATATTGCAAAGTGTTTTGTTATGGCCCAGTGGTATATAAGAAGCAGAAAACTCACATAAAAAAAGGATTGATTTACTGTTAGCAGTGGCGTAGACATTAGAAAACACCATATACCGTATTAGACGGTAATAATAAGCACCCCACTCTAACGGCGATATTTGCTAATATATTGGCTAGTGAACAATCCCAATTAGCACCCCTTCCAATTGATCAATGTTTTATTTCTTTGTGTATAATACACACTCATGTGTTATATGCACCCTAAATTATGGGCAATTTAATCCTGGAAAATATATCTGTCATATATGATACGCACATACTTTTCCTTTGTATCATTTCAGGCTGTCAGCATAAACTACGAAATTTACAATCTCTCAACTCTGTTTTATTTTTCTCACCAAAATTATATTCTAATAAGAACCCCCTATTTCTAATTTTGAGAGCGCCCTGGGCGCTTATCATGTCGAATACGGTACTGGCCATCTGGTGAATGAATGTCAAGATGGCAATATGAACAAATCAAATATTTATCCTGGCCTTTCTGCGGAATGTCATATGAATTCTAGTTGGTTATCAATAAGTTACTACAGATACTCACAAGCATAGGCGGGCGGTCGGGTAGCCTAGTGGTTAAAGCGTTTGCTCCTCACGCCGAAGACCCGGGTTCGATTCCCGTCATGGGTACAATGTGTGAAGCCCATTTCTGGTGTCCCCCGCTGTGATATTGCTGGAATATTGCTAAAAGCGGCATAAAACCATACTCACTCACTCACTCACTCATAAGCAAAGGCTGTCAGCTGACCCAGTAGATCGTCTCGGGCAGGTCTGCTTCCATTTCTGCTGGTTACAGGCCAACGGCCCATCATATAAGTTGGTCCCTGTGTACTATACGGTATGTGCACCAGCTTTGGTAATACTTCTGCAAAAGGTTTGTCTTACTGAAATATTGAATTGCAGATCGGTTTTGAAATATGTTTTTATATAGGTGACACATACAAAATCTATCTTGGATATCAGATGGATTTGCTTAAAATAGGCGCACAAGACAAGAAGGTATTTATTTTACCTCCCGGAGATAAACTGATTCAGAGTGATATTTTTCTTATAATTTCACAGGCAGTGTTATAGATAGATATAGGTCTATAGATAGATCAATAGAAATGTAAGGCTATATGTTTTTTTCAAATTGGTTATGGATCATCAACTGACACTATTGAAATTCAATGTGGGGATGGGGAAAGCATAACTTTTTTATTTTGTCAAATGCTAACTAAGTGTATATGATAAACTGTAAGACCAGCGTTCCCGTTTACTGGTAATTACCAGTTTTTTACCGGTAAAATTAGGCTTGGACCGGTAATTCATGTGACTGCCAGTCCCTGTGGACCGGCAAATAAAGTACCGGTACCTTATAAATCTTTGTTGTTGAACAAAACATGGGTGATATTCAAGTCGGCTTGTCTGTTACCATCAGGGTTTCCCCGTGTTTATTTCTAGGTTAAATATCCATTTGTAGTGACTTGTCTCGAAATATATTAAAAAAAAGAAGAGAAAATTGTGACTGACGTTTGTGTGGATGGCGTATAGATCTAACTAAGTTACTTCAGAGATGACATCTTTGCACTGAACATGATGTTGCAAGAATTAAAACCAAAATATTTTCATACGTTTTTTTATTTGTTGAAAGTTGGGACTGGCAAAAATTAGGGGGGACTGGTAATTTTTAGAGATGCCAGTCCACAAGGAGTGGCAGTTTCAAAAGCCAGCGGGAACACTGTAAGACCAATCAGATCAGGTTGTAAACTGCACGAGGAAGGTAGTACCATTTAGAAACAAATATCCTTCTTTTGTTTTCATTCCCACCTACTGACCAGAATGTTTCATAACATAAAAAGCAAACCGAGAAATATGAAAAAGTTTAGCCTTGGGGTTATCGGCAAAATGTTGGGATCGATTGGATTAATGGAAACACAACATTTTGTGCCTTACCCAAGATAATATATTATTTATATTTTACCTACAGAAATCATATTTCACATCTCT